GCCTTAGCATTGAGGAGGTGCTTTTATTTATATATGATAGCTCTGTTGAACAGATGCGGCATTTAACCTGCATAAAATGAAATAAATAATTTATACTGAGAGTCACATTGCTGTGTGTGTGTGCTTTTTAAAATTCTGATAGATCAAGTGGAAACAAGGAAATACAGTTACCTTATTTGCTGTTAAAAGATCAAAATGATCCCACACAGCGGAAATTTTTCTTTTTCTCTCGGGCTCCATTTTGTTGATGTAGAAGGGGAGGTATTTTTTTTAATCTTTGGAAGGGTAATTTTCTTCTTTTGACAGTGATGCATCCCGTTGACATACAGATGCGGTACCTTTTAAACACAGTTTGGCGCGTCGGTGACGAGCGAAACAGCAGCAGTATCGGTCACGTGACTTTTTCTTAAAGCGACACGCGCACCGATACGGGGCTTCGCTCTACAAGCTCGACACATGCGCCGGTGCATCAGTCTCGCTGGACTCATCACTAGTAAATACCCTCAAATTAAAGCTGACAGTCTGCAGTTAAAGCACATCTTGTTCGTTTCATTTGAAATCCATTGTGGTGGTGTATAGAGCCAAAAATGTTAGAATTGTGTCGATGTCCCAATATTTATGGACCTGACTGTATATTACAATTTTCAGAAAGAAGTAAATAGTTTCAATCCTGTTAAAATGCCAAGCTAGGTAGCAGTTTGATTATTACCAACCCTAAATTGAGTCCATATAACAGAATCACAGCCCCTCGAATTGTACACGTATAGGTTGTGACAAAGAAAATTGGCTCTTGCCAGACATGCCCAAAAGAGTGCAGCCATTCACCCTGTCTCCTAGGGCCCCACCTATCCTGGAAGCAAGCTTTTAACATGCAATCCTTAACTGAATGTATTCATAATATAAAATCATGAATGGATACCAGCTTCCTTAAAGAAAACCCTGAAAAAAACAGAAATCTTATTTGTTGCCCTTAAAACTCTCATCTTTAAAGGTTCAGAATTCACAAATCTAAGTATAAATTCAACACAAAGAAAAAAGTACTTAAAGTACTTGGAGCAAGAAGGAGGCGATGTTCCAAGGCACACGTATTTACTTTAACCATGATTTTACTTTCAACCTTTTGTTTTGTTTTTTGTTTTTTCCTCAATGATTTTACTTTGCATAAAACCATAAGGGAACAAATGTAAAGCAAAAGAATCAAGATGCACATCATAGCTCCAGAAGCTTAATAATAATTGCAGTTAAGGTATTATGAGTAAAGGACTGTATAAAGCTGATGTAGAAAGACAGGGGCATATACACACATCCTCTTGGAGATAGAAGAATAAAATAAAATAGGAACAGGGTTGAAATCACAGAAA